TTTTTTTTTTTTCCTCTCTTCTTCTGTGCTCAAGGCTCTACATTCAGGGTACATGGGAGGTTCAAAGATGGATAATTATACTCTAGACCTGTGGTTCTCTAATTTTAGTATGCCTAACAAAAATTATTTTGGGAGTTTACTAAAATTTAGAGTTAGAGACTCTGTCCTGAAAAATTCTGGTGTAAGCTAGGCCTAGCAATCTGAATTTTTAACAAGCAAACCTTGTGATTCTAGAAAAAGTAGTCTGTGGAGTACACTTTGAGAAACATCGCTATAGGTACAATAGACAAGGAGCTAACCACATCTTGAATCCTACCTCTGCCATTTACTAGCTTTGTGATTGCAGGCAAACTGATATTAAATAGTACACATAATCACTTTTATGAGAGCCCAGGCGCAGCAGAAAGCATTTCCATGTGAAACAGTCCTAACTCAGAGGAATCTTCTGCTTGGAAAAGTGGGAGTGAATGGGTTGAGGACCAGGTAGTTTCCCTGAGCCCATTGAGCAGGCAGATGGGTGCAGATCTTGGCCAGATCTAAAGACATAAGAAGGGAACAGGAAGCATCAAATGCAGATAAGAACAACTAGGTGAAAAACAGAAACAGAATCAGAAAGGAAGAATATGACCAGATGTAGATAAAGGTACTGAAACCAAAGTTGGAGAGACATAGGAGTATTCAAGGCAATATCAGAAGCTAACATGCAGAAGATCCAGAGATGCTAAGTATTCAAGATAGCAGCTCTCATTCTGAGTTACCCTCCCCAGCACCTCTAACACTGACACATTCAAGCTTTGCTTTTCTTGAAAAGCGATGGTGTTCTGAGGGTAATGTCTGACAAAGATTATCAGGGCATACTTGGTGGTTCATGTGGGCCTTGAGAGATGCTAAGATTTCAACAGGCAATGACAAAGTAATCATTGAGCTCAAGTAAGCATTGAGGGCAGAATCCTGATACCTGCAGCATTTTTTTTCTTTATTCACCTGAAATCATATGCAAACCAAGGACCTCTATTTATCCTAATTTGCCAAATATTTTCTATATTATTTATTTTTGATATTTAGGGAGATGGTTTCTAACATGGCTCCTTCCCTAGTGCCCTGGGATGATCAGTATCTTTGTGCACTACTCTCTGGTTCTTTGATCTCCTGGTGCTTATAATGCTTCAGAAAGTTTGATGGGGCACCAGCTCCAGTATAAGTCAGGGTTGCAGTCACATATGAAGTATCAATTGAACATAATCAAAATCTTCCTTGCTCAAAAATCAATCTGCCTCCTCCAACCTACTTCAGAATAGCTACACTTTTATCTATTTGAAAAAAATTTAATGTTTATTTATTTTTGAGGCAGAGAGAGACAGCATGAGTGGGGAGGTGCAGAGAGATAGAGACACAGAATCTGAAGCTGAGCTGTTAGCACAGAGCCTGACATGAGGCTTGAACTCAGGAGCCATGAGATCATAACCTGAGCTCAAGTCGGATGCTTAACCAACTGAGTCACCCAGGGGCCCCTTAAATTTGGTTTTATTTGAAAAGTGTTCAGTGCCTTAAAAGTTTGAAAGTCACTGAATTAATACATTATGCCCTATGGGTCTCTGTTGAAGTGCAGTTGACTTTCCTGGGAGGGGTTATCATATTAACCCAGAGGTTAGAAACTTCCGGCATGCTTGCCAAAGAATATTTTATTGTTTCATGCCCTGAAGGCCCTTGTACCCTGTGTGGCCAGTTGCTCCCAGCCACTAGAGTTAGAGGGTGTTGGAATCCTTGCTACTTTTACAGGTTTACCAGTCCCTAAATTCCACGTATAATAGCTCTAAAAACACATTAGTACTTACTGGTTGTTCAGATTGGCTGGCCTATATTGAATGAATGGTACAATAGCGATCCAGACTCAGGAAAAGTCTGCAGCAGGCAGTTGCCTACAGAGGTGGATGGGTTAACTTATTGGTGAGTGATGTGAGCGTACCTGACACGAGAGGAGCCAAGATGGAGGGGAATGTGAAAGCTCAGTGTCTATGGTGACATAGTTGAGAATTTTCTGGATAGCTCCAATTTATTTATTTTTATTTACTCCTTTAAATGTTTATTTACTTTTGCGAGAGAGAGTGAGATCGCGTGCATGCACAAGCAGGGGGCTGGGGCAGAGAAAGAGGGAGACATAGAATCCAAAGCAAGCTCCAGGCTCTGGGCTATCAGCATATAGCCCTACTTAGGGCTCAAGCTCATGAACCTTGAGATCATGACCTGAGCTGAGTCAGATGCTTAACTGACTGAGCCACCCAGGCGCCCCTGGAGAGCTCCAATTTAAAAGTCAAATTATCTTGTAAACCAAAGTAATTTTTTCAGTACTTCAAACATTTGATATTTGTACAGTATCTCCCACTACGTGGAAATAATACAAAACTCCTTTATCAGGGTTTATCCTTTAATTAGCCATTATTGTTTTAATGTAAGTTTTCTATACTGGAATGAAGTTACACAAATACAGAATTAGTTTCATTCATCTGTAGGTCTTCAGCACAAGGCCCAATTCCTGAAATATGTTGATAGTCATTAACTGTTTGTTCATTGACTGATTCAGTTGACATAACTTGATTGAGCAGGGGGGTACATGAAATATACCCATGGAGCTGATGTAATGATTTTAATAAATATCTATTTGTTTTAGCATAGTAGAGGTATTTCCCTTTTGCTTTCATAAAGCTACCAGATTCCAATGTGAGAATCATGATCCTCAGGTTAACCTCTGACTTTGCTCCCATTTTGGAATAAGAATCTCTGCCTGTCTTGGGCCAAGGATATTATTGCCTGGCAAGGTAAAAAAATTATGTCACAGCTTGAAGAAATAATGAGTGTATCTCCTCAGGGAAGATGTGATTTTCAAAGATCAGGTTTGGTCCTTTAGGAATATTATTCACATTGTCCTTGGCTTCTCTCTAGTCACTGTCTGCCTTATTGTGATGAGGATTGATACCAACAATGGTGGCCAATTGGAAATCTTGACAGCTATGTGTTCTTTGGTAGTTTGGCCATACTGTATCTTTCTCAGATGGTTTTCTCTCTAGCATCTGACTCTTGGATTCCACCTTCCTTATTTCTGGTATCTTTGAGGCTCATTGGCCTGTTTACTTGATTTGGTTTCTCCTTCCAACTCCTCATTTCCTGAGTTTCATTATTGTGTGGGAAAATGTTCTTAGTTATATAATAGTTTGATTTGAAAATGATCTTCAGAATCTGAGGAGCCATCAGGATTTATTTCAAATGTTTGCCTTACTCTTTCTTGTTCAGATTCCTATATCCAGGGCTGCACAGTGTGGAGCTCTTTCAGTAGAGGCCTCAGCATGTCAAGGACCTTTGGCCTGAAGGTGGACAGTAATACATTCTACAATATTTTAGGCCATGCCCTGCTTGTGGGTAAGTGATGAGCTTGTTTAATTTTGGCATTCCTGAGTAGGATAAATTCTTTTTCAAAAGGAATTTTCCCAAAATTTGAATTCCTAATCTATAAAATAGCCTCTGATCAGTACAAATAGGCCATAGTTTAAAATTCTGAATTTCAGGGGAGCCTGGGTGGCTCTGTAGGCTTAGTGTCTGACTTTGACTTAGGTCATGGTCTTGCCATTCCCGAGTTTAAGCCTTGCATTGGGCTCTGGGCTGACAACTCAGATTGTGCTCACAAGCAGAGTCTGGGATTCAGATTCTGTGTCTCCCTGTCTCTGTGTCCCTCCCTCCTACTTGCACTCTCTCTGTCTGAAATAATAAAAAAAATAAATTTAAAATTCTGAATTTCAATTTACCCATCTGTAATTAGCTTCCTAAACTTTACCAATAAGAAACTGATCTTTTAAAGATGACCTTTCGATTCAGGTTTAATAAATATGAAATGAGAGGTTTTCAAATTTACTGTCTGCAATTTCCACAATAATTCAAAGTCATGTAAATAAATCTCTGTAGTCTCATGGTATGTTAAACCTTGATGTTGGACATGGAGTTAAAAATCCTGAATTCTGTTCTCAGCTGCTCCTTAGGCTTGCTAAAGAAGCTCATATTTCAGAAACCTCTGCTTCATCACTTGTATCCATTTTTTCTCCTAAAGTTTATTCCCCTTGCAGAACCCAGAAGTATTCTTAGAAAACTCAAATTGCATCATATCACTCATCCTTAAAAATCTTTAAGAATTTCTTATTGCTCTTAGATTACAGTCCTAAATCCTTAACCTGGCTTAGAAGATTCCCTCCGTGGAGTGCCTGGGTAGCTTAGTTGGTTAAGTGTTGCACTTTGGCTCTGGTCATGATCTCCCTGCTCATAAGTCTGAGCCCTGTGTTGGGCTCTGTGCTGACAGCTCAGAGCCTGGAGCCTGCTTCAGATTCTGTGTCTCCCTCTCTCTCTGCTCCTCCCCTGCTCATGTTCTGTCTCTGCCTCTCTCTCAAAAATGAGTGAACATTAAAAAAAATTAAAAAAGAAGACTCTCTCCATGATTTCACCTATATTAATATTTGTAAACTTGTCCTGCTCTTTTTCTATTCCTTTGTATTCTAGCTACCCTATTTTACTTTAATTCTTTCAAAAGACCACTTTTTTTTTTTTTTTTTTTTTGTCTCAGGGCTTTTACACAAGATTTTCCCTCTGCTCATACTGCTCATTGTCCTCCTATAAAGTTTTCTCTCCCACACTCCTAAGTCAAGTCCCTCTGTTTAAGCTCTTTTAGTCCCAATCATTATTTATTGATTTAAAATTGTTATCTACCATGTTTCTAATCATATGATTAATGTCTATTTGTATCACCAGCTTTCATGTGAACATTGTTTCCTTAGCATTTAGCACATTGACTAGTGCATTGTAGGTCTATTTGTTGAAAGAAATGAATTAATTAATAAACAAAGGGTCTTTGAATATATTGGAATACAAAAGCAAATCAGAGGTTTCAATGAAAGTGAGCCTTTAACTGGATTTGTTAAATAGTATTTTATATTTAAATTAATTCTGTGATACCATCAGTGGGGACATGTATGTGTTTCATTTAAGAATGATCTGTCGAGAAAAAAGCTATAATGTCCTAATCCTGAGAGGGAAACTGTTGAGTGAGAAAATATGGATCATATAAATTTGCTTTAAAACAAACTCCAGCTCTAAAAGACAAAGAGCTAAGGATAATAGTGGCAATCACGTGCAGGAAAATCTGTTGATTGGGAAAGGACAGCTACAGGGCAGTTAAAATAACAGGTGTAGGATTGACTTTGTCTATTCTTACTTTTGTCTGTGTGAGGGGAAACGTTTGCTGAAACTTGGAGCAGAAGTGCAGGAAGGTACCCTAACGATATTAATTTAGCAGAAAACAGTTACGTGGAATAGACATTAACTAGGCAAGAAGAAAACCTGCAGGAGGAATTTAATTTAGCCCTTAATGTTTATTGTGAATTAGAGGCTCTGGACATCTATTATACTGCAGGTGATGAAATTAGAATGTTTGTTTATTAGTGTATTATAGAGTACTCTATTTCATGCAAAATGAGTTTGTAAACTCAGATTCATGAAAACGGGGAGCCAAATACCTAAATACCTAGTGAGGAGAAGGGTCTGTGGGGCTGCTCTTTACTGATGTCGCATACATGGCTAATCGTTCTCTATAGCATGGCCCATGCTCTTTCATTCTCTTCTATTCCAAACTTCATTGGTTTAGGCATGAGGGTCCCAGGTACTGTCCAGCCTTTTGTTCCAGAACATTCCACATCTTCCAGGGGAAGAGTGTAGCCTGCAGAATAGTTGGTAGCCAATTTGAACAGCTAGGGGAGGGGCTGGAGCTGACACATGGACATGTGGCATTTGATCGTGGAGACACTTAAACTCTTCCTAAGAGGTGAAACATTACATCTGTTTCTTCTGTATTTTTTTTAGATGAACTTCTGATTCACTACAATACTCTAGAACTAAAAAGCCTGTATAATCTGTTTCTCTTTGTATGGTTCATAGATTAAAAACATAAAAACAAATTTAAAATAAGGCACACCTGGAATGAGAACTAGCGTTGCCATATCCCTCAGTTTTCTGGGGGGCATGAAATGTGCTGAATGAAGTAACATGACCTTTTGTTCTCAGGTACAGACATGGACAGAAGATATACCTCTTGGGAGGCTACTTCTGAAAGAAAAATTGGTAAATATGTAAAGTGCTTTTAAATCCATTACATCATGCTTAAGTTGTCATGTATTTGATAGACGGGCCTGATGGCAAAATGTTAGGTACCTTAATTTGTGAAACATACTGAATATTTTATATATATATAGATGCATATATATGCATATATATTCATGCATATATATGCATATATATGCATGTATATTTATGTATGCATTATGTAAACCATAACATGCATTAGTAGAAGCAAGACCATTGAGTTATGTAAATTTTAATTATGTTTGTGACTCCCCTGGGTTTGATTTGTCTTTTCTTAAATTAGCCTGGCCAGTACAGGGAAATATAATAAGAAACAATGTGATCATCAGTGTTTCTGGCATCGAAGGACTCTCCAGTCCTGAAATGTTGACGCCATCTGGTATCTATATTCGCAATCCCACCAACGTTGTCGAGGTAAGATCTGTAGTTCTCCCAGGAAGCTCAGAGCTGAGAGGCCATAAAATTAACTCGGAAAGTTATTTGGAGTGGTGGCAGTGGTAGAATGGTAGAAAGTGTTTACTTGGTGCACACTAGTATCAAGAAACAACTTAATGATTTTTATGGTAAACGAGTGCTTTAGGATAAACGTAATCATTTCTCTCAGAATTCCTGTGAACACGCTTTGAAGCAATATCTATAGGTAGCAAAACAAAGTAGATATTGGTTACTTTCTGGTCCTTTCGATTAACGCAAACTACAATATCTTCCTGAGTTGTCTGCTGTGGTTGCTGATTTTTGTCTCAATTCCAATAATAATTACTCATTAAATCTTCATTATCTTCCTGTATTAATGTGTTCATATTGTTGCTCTTTTGGAATGTTTATTTGTTTTGAGAAAGAGAGTGAGGGAGGGAGCATGAGCAGGGGAGGGGCAGAGAGAGAGAATCCAAAGCAGGCTACACGCTGTCAGCACAGAGCCTGATGTGGGGCTCAATCCCATGAACAGTGAGATTATGACCTGAGCCAAAATCAAAAGTCAGATGCTTAACTGACTGAGCCACCCAGGTGCCCCATATATTGTTACCCTTTAAGAATATTCAGAACCGAGGGTCAGCAAAGTCATGAGGTATATGAGATCACATCAGATTCCAAGACAAATAAAGCACACTCTGATGACCTTTTTTATCCTATTATTTAGTACAACTTAATGTTACTTTTTCTTGGCAAATTTCTCCTTAAACTCTGAGAAATTAATTTTTTAGAGTACAGTTTAACCATAGATCCACGAATGAAGAATTACATCAGAGTAGGAGGAAAGGCCATTTAGTTTTGCCTTTATTAATTTTTTTAAAGTTTATTTTTTTTATTTTGAGGGAGTGAGCAGGGGAGAGGCAGAGAGACAGAGGGAGACAGGATCCCAAGCAGGCTTCTAGCTCTAAGTGCAGAGCCAGACACAGGGCTCGAACTCAAACTGAGAGATCATGCCCTGAGCCAAATCGAGAGTTGGCTGTTTAACCGACTGAGCTACCAGGCACCCCTCATTTCCCCTTTTAATGATTCTATCCTGTGGATCATGTCCCGAAGGGTTAAGGGCCTCTCAGTCTTCTAGGACACTCATCTGAGCATCTGTTGAGTCATGACAATTGTGCCAGATTTCTGAGGAACCCAGAGAATGCACTTCTGTCTCTGTCTCTCTGATCATCTGTTCTTAATTACTTTTAGCTGAATACCCCCTAATAAAAGTCATGGTTATCTCCTCAACCTTCTTCCAGACTCTTTTTTTTTTTTTAATTTTTTTTTTTCAACGTTTATTGATTTTTGGGACAGAGAGAGACAGAGCATGAATGGGGGAGGGGCAGAGAGAGAGGGAGACACAGAATCAGAAACAGGCTCCAGGCTCTGAGCCATCAGCCCAGAGCCCGACGCGGGGCTCGAACTCACGGACCGCGAGATCGTGACCTGGCTGAAGTCGGACGCTTAACCGACTGCGCCACCCAGGCGCCCCTTCTTCCAGACTCTTAATTACATTTATTCCAAGCACAGCACTTACACACCACTTTAGGTGCCTAATAGGGACAGCTAATATGCCAGTAAGGAAAGGAGGCAGAACTGCTTTGATTGAAGGAAACCAAACTTTAGACCCAGAACAACAAGAGCAGCATTTAACTTGTTGGCGATCATGGGGCTTGTTGTGCAGTTACGCTGGCAGCTTTGGGGCCCAAAGAGCTGTGTTTTTGTACACTTCTCAGACTGCATAACTTGACTGCATTGAAATACCCAGAGGAAAGTTGTCCCATTCATCTTGCTGCATGAGGCTGGAGTGTATCTAAGTCCTGCATCGAATGCCAGGGGTGCTGTCCATCTGCCTTTGCTCCACTGAGTGGCATAGTGTACCACGGGCAAGTGTCCTGGCCACTTGTCTGCTGGAATAATTGTGTTGGTTCTGTGTGCAGAGGACCAGAGGGCCATCTAAAAAGCTGATACGTCACCTGAGCTTTTGCAGACCTGTGAACGGTACCAAGTCAGCAATGAAAAAATGGAAAAACAAACAAAAGCAAGCTGTTTGTTTCCCATTACATGCTATTTCTGTTCATTTACTTACCTCCTTTTATATCTACTGTACAAAAGTGAAAACGAATGCAACGTATATGTTTGGAGGATGAGGTTTTAGTTTAAGCTGGTAGCACAGGCTCATTAAATTATTCCTTAGTGTATTCCTGACATTTTCATCTTTGATGACCTTAAAAGTCTGTAGTTCTCTTTTCATTAGCTTATCAGCTTTTAGACCCTAGCACAGTGTCTGAAATATACTAGTTGTTCAGTAAAAATTAAATGGATATAATGAATGAATGTAAGTGTAACTCCATACTTAAAGCATGGAGGGAGGAAAGAGAAAATAATAGATTCCAAGATACCACAATCATTTTGATGACTGAAAAATAGCATGTTTAATCTGGGGCAGCATTTAAATACTGTGGAACTTAGCTCTCAGTGTTAAATCTCGCACAGTACCCTGCAGTTTTTTTAGCTGTGTGCTGTCTCTTTTGTATTCTGTTGTCTAGAATATATCAGCTCTAAAGACATAGGTGATAACTGGGTGCATGTGGCAAAACCTAAAAATTATGAACTCCTCTTGACCCTTTGGGCCAATGAAAGCTATTTCACTCACTGAGCAAGCTTTAAGTTCATGTTTATTAAGTGTATCCTATATGGATGGTGCACAGACAATTTTGAAAATATTTTAGAAACAGACCTTAATTCCAAAGGGATGGTAAGGAAGCTACAATAATGATGTGTGTGTGTGTGTGTGTGTGTGTGTGTGTGTGTGTG